TCGCTCACCTCGGTGCATACACCTAGGAGTGAGCAAGAGAGTTCATAGGATGGGTTTGGGTTGGAATGGGAACGCACTAGAACAAGCACATCCCAGCAAGCTGCCAGCTCAGACAGTGCTTGTGGGGTCTCCAGGGGAGCAGTGCAGTGGTCCCTCATCCCTCACCTCGTAGGGTTTGTCTCAGAAAGGTGAGAAGACTGGAGCTGGTGAGGGATGGTGTGAGCAGGGGCAGGGCTGCCTGTGGTGGGAGAGGACCCAGCTCAGCAGTGGTGGGGAAGGTCAGGTCTGGCTGGACAACACAGAATGTGTGAGAGCTCTAAAGAAGGGAAGGAACAAGGAATCTAGTGATAGGAGTGAGGGAGCGCTCAGCAAGACGGGAAGATGTGCAGAAAGAAAGGTCCTTTTGTATCACTCTAAAGGCACATCTGTCCTTGGATGCTGCCCCTCTGGCATGGCACCAGCTCCCATATCATGTTTTGGAGGGTGTGGATGGCCTGGGATATCACTCCATGTGCTGGTGATGCTCAGGAGGGCACACAGCAGACAGGCTGCGGCTCCCGGGGTGGAACTAGGAGTGGAGCTGAGCCCTCTGGTTGCCTGTGGTCTTTGCACATGCTGTGATTGTGAATCTCGACCCCTAGGTTGCAATGAGGTTGTCATGCACAGCAAGAAGTGGTATTGAAGGAAAATAATAAGTTCAAAATGCATGTAAAACCCCATAGTGCTCATTACCCATATGCAGGACAACACCCCCAGAATGGTAATTTCCAATTTCATCTTCTCTGGCTGACCACAGATATGGATTCATTCAAACAGCAAGGAAGAAATTAAGTGTTAATTTAACAGAAGGGAAAGGCTACTAAGGAATTGGATTAGATTCTTAAATTAAATATCAACCCGTAGAAGGGCTTTCTGAGTGCTCCAGCCTGCCTCCTCAGTGATTCTCTGCAGTAATAAAACAGAATGGTATCAAGCACCTGGCAAAGTGCTGAGGCACTGCCCCCAGCCAGCAGGGCAGAAGCTGGTCCTTATAATGTCATTATTATTAGTAACAGTAGTAGTATTATTAGTATTATTTTGTATTTGTATTACTGTAATTAATATTATATAGTAAAATTAATATTATTATAAACTTGAAGATTTTA